ACCCCCCTCACCCCGCCCCCCATCAACGGAGAATGGCAACCGGATGGCAGGGTTAGTTTTTTTTTTTATTTATTCTTTATTTTTTTTAAACTTTTTAATCAGTTTTTTACATTTTTAGCTTATTGTTTACTTTTTTATAATTTTTTTTAGGGATGTCCCGATACCGATGCTAGCATCTGAATCGGGCCCACTACTGTGTGGTAGCGAGCAGAGCCGGCACTACCACACAGTAGACACTAGAGGGCGCTGGGGGGGAGGCCAGAAAGACACCTCCTCCCCCAGCTCTCTCTACTCTTTGCTCTTTCCGGAGATTGCTGGTGCTGTTTCTGCAGCCTGCACTGTCCCGGCCGAGATATTAACATATGAATGGGCCACAGTAATTTGCATATCAATAAGCCGCGACCCATTCATATGTAAATATCGCATATCATTCATATGTAAATCGCCGCCCCTCCCCCCGCTGCTAAGGAAGAGAAGACTGCAAGAACAAGGTATGTGTATGGTCAGGGATTTACTCTCCCTGTCGCCCCAAGGCCAGATTCCACAATGCGCCCCCCTCCCCGCCAAACCCCCCCACATCAATGGAGAATGGCAGGGGCGGCAGGGTTAGTTTTAATTTTTTTTATTTATCTTGTCGTTTACTTTTTAATTTTTTTATCATTTTTGCTCTTATTATTGTTTATTTTTTTATAATTATTTTCTAATTTATTTCTTAGTATTTTTTACTTTTTTAATCACCTTTTAATTTTTTTATTTAATTATTATTTCTTATTATTTTGTACTAATTTGTTTATTTATATTTATTTAATTCTTTTTTAAATTTAATTTTTTTCACTTAACTTTATTGCTATCACACAGAAAGAGGCAGAGACACGGAAGAGGCAGAGACACTGACGGAGGAGGCGGGAGGCGTCGCCGAAGCTCCAGTCGGGCGACGAAGATGACAAGGAGACCGTGTCGAGCGCCGAGGATGAGGAGGCCGTGTTCCAAGGAGGTCAGGCCGTGCAAGGTAAGAGGAATGTGCTGGCAGAGCCCAGCATAGATTCTGCACAGCCCACCAAAGAGTCTCAGGTGTGCTGTGCAATACCCTTTGGTGGGCTCTGCAGGATCTGAGGGGCTCTGCCGTCTGCAAAGCCCACCACGGATCCTGCAGAGCCCCACTGAGATCCTGCACGGTCTCTGCAGGATCTGTGGGGAGCTTTGCAGGATCTGTAAAAATCATGAACCATGTCCCAGGGGGGATTTGCAGGATCTGTGTCGGGGTCTATGGTGGGCTCTGCAGGGTCTCAGGTGGGCTTAGCAGCCTGAGACCCCGCAGAGCCCACCAAAGCTGTGAATGAGGGGGCAAAGGTAAGCTCTGAGAGCCTGTTCACACGACGTCCGTTTTGTGTGCTGACCTGATCCGTACGCTGCTGCACTCAAAATGCATCCCAATGTATCCCTATGTGTTTTATGGGCTACAGTTCTCACGTGCGCAGTCCTTTCAGCTTACGACAGAAAAAATACTGCATGTCACATTTTGTCCGGTCCGGAAACGCACGAACGCGCACAAAACGAAATGAAAACGCAACGCAATGCAGCTAAGGAAAAAAAAAATTGTATTCTTGCTCCACTTATTATGATGTTATCAACGATAGACAGGTTGGGGTAGAGGTAACAACATGAACTGCAAACATTTTAAACATGCCCATTCCCTTGCCATGGACATACAAGTAAAGGAAAAAAATGTATCCGGGTGACCTCACAAATCCTCAAACTCCAGAACTGACCTTTGGAGTCCCGGAGCCTCAAGATCGGGTGTACCCAATAACGATGTCTCCTGCGAGCTCGCTCTCTGCAGATTGCTGTAGCCAGCACCATCAACATGCCTGCAAACATGTGATACATGTCTGATCACCAGCTTTACGTACACAAACGGAAGTAGATGTTCCGAGAGGGCGGAAGTGACCTCAGAGGCTGAATCTGCATACTGACTGCCCCTTGGCTAAAAAAAAGAAAAAAGGAACGGTCAGCATCCGGACCGAAAACGCATCAAAAACGGACTGCATCAGCAGCTCCACGTCGGCTGATCAGAACCTGATCTCATGTGAACAGGCCCTGAATGAGGGTTATAGAGTTTAGCTGTGGACATGGAGTTCAGAGGTGAGTTATGGGCAAGGTGTGCAGAGGTGAGCTTGGTAGAGGGGAGTGCAGAGGTGAGCTGTGAATGGGGGTGCAGGGTGAAGTGCAGGCTAGGTGCAGAAGAGAGCTGTGGATGGAGGTGAGCTGAGAATAGAGATGCAGAGATATGATGCTCGTGGGACTGTAATTAAATAATATTTTGTGGGTTCAATTGCCCCCTTAATGAAAAAACAGAACGGAAACGCAACGCAATGCAGCTACGGAAAAAATAAATTGTATTCTTGCTCAACTTATGTTATCAACGATAGACAGACGGGTTGGGGTAGAGGTAACGACATGAACTGCAAACATTTGGAACATGCCCATTACCTTGCCATAAAAAGAGAAACATTTTCAAGGGATAACCCGAGGGCTATTACAATAACGGAGGCAGTTACCCAGTTCATTATTCTTGATGATCAGCCACTTTCTGTACTTGAGAACGTGAGTTTTCGGCGACTTAGTAATGTTTTTGAGCCAAGGTATGAGATGCCTAGTCGCCACTATGTTACAGATGTCGTCTTACCAAAGATACATGACATGGTGAGTCCAACATGTTGCAGCAGGACGTAAAGGCGATTAGCTTTACTACGGACATTTGGAGCAGTAGTGTGAGTCCTGTGTCTGTCATCAGTTTAACCGCCCAATGGATAGATGACAATTTTACTCTGCAGCAAGTCATGCTCCATGCCAAAACATTTCAAGGCTCTCACACAGGCCAAGCTATAGCTAATATACTTCAGGAAATGCTTCAGACTAGGTCAATTCCAAAAGGTTCTGTCCATGTTGTGGTCCATGACAGTGCCAGAAATATGATCAAAGGCATGGATGATGCTGGACTTCCAAGTATTTCCTGTGTGGCCGATACGCTGCAGCTGGCTGTCTCAGAGGGTCTATTATCACAACGCAGCGTTGTGGATACTGTGGGGGTCGGTCGCAGACTAGTTGGCCACTTTAAACACTCACACCTGGCATATTCTCGCCTACAAGATATTCAGATCCAGCTAGGTCAACCAGTTAAAAGACTTCAACAGGATGTTCAGACTCGCTGGAATAGCACGTTTTACATGCTGCAGTCTCTGATTGAACAGAAGCGGGCCATTGGGGTGTATGTGTCCGAACATGAGCTCCCAGTCACCATCACTGCAAACATGTGGAATCTCATGGAAAAGATGTTGAACATCTTGGCTCCCTTTGAGGAATTGACTCGTCAAGTGAGTTCTTCACATGCATTGGCCTCAGATGTAATACCTGTAGTCACCGTGCTACAGCAAATGTTGACAAAAGAAGTGGATGAGGACCATGGCATTAAAACTATGAAGAGCGCGTTGCTTGCTGCTTTCCAGAAGAGATTGTCTAACAGAGCGAAACCCACTATACTACATCGCTACTCCACTAGATCCAAGGTTATTATTATTTTCTACTAATAAATGTTTAAAATAACATAAGCTTTATTTTGCTCTTAAGAAAAAAAAAAGTTTGGGGAGAGGTGATCTATTTAACTTAAATAAATGATTAATGACGGTAGTCTCTTCAATTAAAAAATGTAACTTTAATAATTTTAGTTACATTTTTTAATTGAAGAGACTACCGTCATTAATCATTTCTTTTAGTATACGGTTTTTAGTTTCACGGTTCTTCTTACTTCCCTTTAGTTATTGCTTTTATTGCAAAGTGCAAATTACATTTCTTCATAATAGTAAAGAATTTGGCCTAAAATTATTAGTCTGTATGTTTTTTAAAAGGAGAAAAAATCGGTAATTGGTATCGGCAAGTACATGAGGGCCAGTACTTGTACTTGTACTTGGTCTTAAAAAAAGTGGCATCTGGACATATTAGGTTCTGGGCATCGGGGGATTCACCGCTGCCGCCCCTCTGTGCCCCGAGGCCTGGCCTTGGTGGCCTTGTGGGGAATCCGGGCCTGCTTCTATGTATGAAACATTCACAAAGATAAAATATTATGAAGATTGACGTCCATCTCCAAGGCCCCCGTTTCTCATGCACCTAAAGTTTTGTCAATTAAATCATACACACCTTTCAGGTGCTATATGTATGCGTTAAAGCAGTGGTTCTGAATTTGTGTAACCTCAGGACCCACATTTGTCCTCGGTCATTAAGTCGCGACATAAGTCGCACTGCAATGGAACACACGGCGTTGAGGTACCACTCATTCCAGTGCAGGTGATTGAACTGTGAGTGAGAGGTGTGTTTGGGGTGCCATTCAAATGAATGGCAATGCAAAGCAACCTCCCACACCAGAACAGCGTGGTACAGTGCATCAATTGCATGGGACTGTGTGATTAACGCACTGTACTAGTAGGAACAGGCTCTGAAAACACTGGCACACACAACCACAGACACAATCTCACAGACACAATTACACACACTCCAAGAAAAAAAAATTCTTCTTTTTTTAAGATTCACCCAGTCTCCCTACCTTATGAGAACTGGAATGGATCCTCAGGCTGGGGTCCAGTGTGGGCTGCTGTGCTGTGATGGAGCATCATCCAGCAATGTGCATTGCTTGTACAGCTCCCATGCGTACCTCAACAGGACACGAGAGGGAGCTGTAAACAATGCATATATAGATGGAGCTCCCTCCCTCATACCCCTAGGCCACCCCACCTCAAGTCGACACTCGGCGCCAGGGCAGCATATTTTGAATGGCTGCTCAGTGTGAGAACTTAAGAGTGCTGCGCTAGGGAGAGGCGGAAGGAGCTTTTCATATAGAAAAGTGGAAGGCATGAGGCGACTCACTGAACATGGGATCACGACACACTTTTGGGTCACGTCCCACCAGTTGAGAACCAAGGTTTTAATGTGACACTAAACTCAGGAGTTAAATCTTAAAAATGCATTCAAATACTGCATTATAGTGATCTTGGAGCGGTGACTACTTTACAACACACACAGTGACCATGGGGAACAAAAGTAGCCACCCTCCAGAAGGAAGGACAGTGTCAGCACCAATTCAGAGATGATTTGAGGATCTACAGCCGAGTGATACACAAATAAGATACATTTTTGTTATTAGTTGAGGAACTTAAATGCATTTTTAATATTTAACTCCTGAGTTTAGTGTCACTTTAAATAATTTAAGTTTACCACTGAATTACAGGTGGGCCTCAAAACTTAAAAAAAAAGAAGATAAATTGTTTAGCAATAATATGATTTGTGGGCCATGTCTTCATGGCTGGGCAGCTTCACTGTCTATGCCATCTGTGCTGCTGTATAATTTACTTATCCTGTCATCTTAGGAGATTTGAAAGTTCTGTTAAATTAAAATGTGTCTATGATCTCCAGAGCCTGCTGATAGGAACTCCATCACAACTGCCACTGATCAGTAAAGCTTAGAGTAAATATGTTTAAAAAGTTATCCAGAAGAATATAAAAGCTTCCTCTTACACACAGTATAACTATATATATATACATACACATACATACTCTGAGTAGCCAGATTATTATGACCACCTGACGTCTGTAGGCAAATTAGCTATAATTTCGCTATGAAGTTGCTAATTTTTTCAACTGCAGCTTTCAGAGTTTGTAAAAATAAAACCCAGACGATAAATTTCCTGAAAACACAGGACTGGTAGAATAAAAAGATGGTGCTACTAATTTTTTAAGTCCCACAACAGTTTATAAAAATCAATATTTTCAAAAAGTATTATTATCAGCGCACACAAAAACAAACCATAATTTACAAGATTCCTACTAAATCTAAAAGATAAAACTACTGTATATTGAGTTAAAAAATGGTAAATTTTAAATTGCACCTTTTTGCGAAATGATAAAAAAACAAAGGAATGCAAAACTGTAAATATGCAACTTATGCAAAAATCAGGAGGTGGGCCTCACACTTGTGTGTTTTGCTAACGTCTGGTCAGCAGTGGTGTTTGTGCGCCCTGTTGGTGTGTGCTGCGATAAAATTATGCAGGCATACATTTAATTGCATAGCAATTGCAGCATAATAGCTGCTCATGACAGCAATTGCTGATGCGTTTCTGACTTACCCTATGACTAAGGCCAAGTAAGGCAGAAACACAGTTGTTATTTGTACAGATGCATGTGGAATATTTATGTTTTTTGGAAGAACATTGTGTGCCGGTTTTGCAATTTCTAAGATATCCACTTTGCAATTAGCACATTATTCCTTGCATTGATTTACTGAATAACCCTGATAGGGTACTCAAATCAATATGTCTCTGAATAATGGTCTGCACATAGCACTAAGGCTCAGTACAGTACAAATTATTATAGAACATAAATGTATGAGTGTGAATGTTTTTTGATTGGAGCATTTTAGTTGTGTCTGTGGAGGAGGTGTGTGGGACAGCTGGAGAGCCAAACATCTGTCCTTACACAGAGCACAGCGGTCCAGAGCTTGAGTATGACTTCATAACACCAAAAATAAATAAAAGTACAATTAGACTTTAATAAGGCAGGGAGCAAAGATGGACAAAGTACTACAATCAGTGGCAACCAATCAGAAGCCTGTTTTCTCTGATGTGGCTTTAGCAAACTGAACTCAACTGGCTGCCATTGGCTACTGCACTTTGTATATGTTCTTTACACTGCTGTATGAAAAAATATCTAAAAGGAACACACAATATACAGTGCAGGCATTCATTTTATGTACAAAGTGCTGATATACCATAGCTTAAAAAATTAGGATATTGTGAAATATTATGTAAAAAAATAAAAGTTGTTCCTCAGGATGTCTGTTAAGGTTCCAATTCATTCAGGTCATGGTATATCTGTAAAAAAGAAGTCAAGGCAACTGGACTTGTTGGATTTTTCTTGAAGACGTTTAACTGGCCATCTAACCAGCTTTCTCAATTCAGATTTCTGAATTGAGAAAGTTGGTTGGATGACCAGTGAAACGTCTTCAAGAAAAATACAGCAAGTCCAGTTGCCTTGACTTATTTTTTACAGAAGTTCCTCAGGAGTTTTGTACTGAAGTTCTTTGGATCCTGACTAGGACCAGATGACCAGCCTTACTAGGAAATGTGATTAGATATTGAGATGATTGGTAGCCATTGGTAGCCTGCTGTCTCCCCATAAAAGATTCCACACAAAGTCCCATGGGGCCTTCCTAGGATAAAACAGCAGATGACTTCTTGGAGTTGAGAAAGCTCCTCTTCTTCTTGGGTTTGCTTTGAGGGCTAGGAGACTCACTGGGAACTCTAAATATATACAGGTTTTCTGCAGTGTCCGAAATATCTAAGGCTTCCGCACTTCCAAAGTACACAGATCCAGTGCTGGACTGAAGCAATTTGGTGAAACTTCCCGTGTGTGAGAATGAGACTCTCTTCACTGGTCTCAACTTCTTCTTCTTCAGGATGCTGAAACAAAATACATCAATGTTAGTTACATGTATTAGAAGAGTGACAGAGGAATTCATTAGTCTGCTGTTTCTCCTTTCACTGTCCAGTCCTTATAGAAGGCAAAATATACAATTCCACTCTTCTGGGATCCCCTGACTGTTGGGTGTGCCCCGACAAAACAAGAAGGACCACTCTATCAAAAAATCAGTGCATGTGTACGAAGTATAACAGGGACAAGCAATCTGCTCAGTGTGTAGCGATGTAAGGGGTGAGAGAGTGCACCGAGCAGAGGGTGGAACTGTCATGAAAGCTTTTGTGGACTAGCTTGGGGGAAGCACAAATTGGCATACAGCTATGAAATCTAAACTAAGCTGCATTTGTCTAAGCTGGATAATATTGTTTATACTACTGGGGGCACTTGACTAAATAGTAGGGATGCACAGATACTGGTTGGTATCGCGCACCGATATTTTTTTCCGGTACTCACCAATACCGAATACAGGAAGCCGGGCAGCGTTTAATGACTCGCGCCTGGCTTCCTAATTAGCTGGCTATATGCCCTCTCGTCACCAGGTGACGAGGGAGCATGGAGCCGGCTTTCTGGCCAATCAGGAAGCCAGGGGGTGGGTAATGACTCGCCGCCTGGCTTCCCAATCAATCAGGAAGCCTGGTGGTAAGTCATGGCATGCCGCCCGGCCTCCTGATTGGCTGGGAAGCTAGCTCCATGCTCTCTCGTCACCAAGTGGGTGGGTAATTACTTGCCAGCTACCTGATTGGCCAGCTTCCCAACCGTCCGGGTTCCTGATTGGTCAGTAAGCTGGCTCCACTAAGTGATGAGGGAGCATGGAGCCGCCTCCCTGGCCAATCAGGAAGCCAGTGATACCGGAGGTTCCAGTATCAGAATAACTATCAGAAGCATTTGGCTGAGTACGATGACTCACCCAACTACTCAGTGTCGGTACCGATACTAGTATCGGCGCATCACTACTGAATAGTAATTTTTGAAAAAAGGTAAACTTATCCTTTTAAGCGGAAAGTAGTATACAGATGTGTCCCCCTGAACTCCCTACAGCGTGTCAGTGGTGCTCGTAGTGATAATCACGCATGTCGCCATGCACATCAAGTTGTAGAAAGTGAGGATCACCAGCACGTTAAATCTTTGTGCTCATTTATTAAAGGAGAACTATGGGGTTCGGGCTTTTCCCCATAGTTCTCCTTAGGGTAACGGGAGGACACAAACTAGTGTCCTCCCGTTACCCTAAGCTCATTATACCGCGAGCTACAGCTCGCGATATACTGAGACGCCGCAGCCGGAGCGGATCCCGACATCGATGTCGAGATCCGCCCAGCTGCGTGACAGCTGGCTCTGCCTATCTAGAGGCAGAGCCAGCTGTACCGCCCCCTCCCAGTCCGTTACGCCAGTCAGCGCTAGCGGATCGGAGCGGGGGGAATCCAGCCCCTCTCCTGTCACGGCAGAGAGCCGTGACAGGATCGAGAGGTGAGCAAACGCCGGTATATGTTCGCTCACCTCCCGATCTACTGAGCCGACCTGTGACAGTCTCATTGTCACAGGTCGGCTAGAACTATGAGGTGAGTGAAAAGCACTCACCTCATACTTCTCCTTTAAAGCAAATCGTCACATATATCACATAGCCCCGTGTGATATATTCTGTCTCTTATCAGAGTTGCTTCTGCCACACACACTGTATAGAAAGATAATTTGTAAGTCCTCTTTGTTGCTAGCTTGGGAACAGGTAAATATACTGTATGTTTGGGAGCAAAGCTGGGCTCAAGAGGGACTACAAGATAATCTTAACTGTATGTTTAAGTGATGGAAAACTCCATCATGCATTGTTTAGGATCAGGATTATTCACAACATAATATAACACAGGCAAGCTCCCCACATAGTTCACTTTACATAGCAGTGAGAACAATGAATATAATAACAGAATGTCATTTTGTTCATGTAAGGTCTGCTTTACGGTTAGCTGAAACCTTCAGAACAGGAAGAGCTTTTATTGGCTGCTGTGGGTTATTGTAGTTTTCATTTTGCTCTTTGTCTTTCACAGTACGCCAGTGTTGTTTCAAAGAGCAATGTAGGGGAGTACAAGCTACTGCTGTATGGGGATAACGTCTATACACATAACTCCTCTTAGTAAATGTCTCCAACAATATGCAGCTTAGGCATGTTTATACAGCTTGATTGAGCTGCAAAGGGCCACTGCACACACAAATTATGGCGGAACAAGATCCTGACGCTTCCTCTACTGGTCCATTACATGAATCCAATTCACAAGAGTTAATGGATACTGTAGACAAGTCATGTGACAGTGAGACACAAACTCAAATATGTAACGGAATACATACATACCATCAAATTATCTGTCTCCACACATTACTGCTCTTCCCTCTGCTATATTTCATGCCACAGGGAGTAAAAATTGATCTGGGGATTGCCTGTTCAAAATCCATAATCCTCAGAAAATTCAACCTTTCAAGTATCCATGTTCTTAGAGATTGCTTTCCTTTTTAACCTTTGTTTTCTACTCACTAGGTTTTAACTATTACATTTGGGCTTAGAATATACTCAAGGTAGCCCAGAGCCAGATACAACTACTAAAAGAGAATCTGTAGTCATTTTTATGGGTTTACATATATGAACGAGATCTGCTCACTGCAAACAATCATATTAGTGTATGTTAATGTATTCAAATCCTTTTTACTATGTACATGTTTGTAATCATGTGTGTACATGGGGTAGGATTTTTTATCTTTTTATCTCACTGCTAAATTAAAACAACAGACTCTATTAGTGTGCATCACTAAATAGCAGATCAAGTGGCAGTTCTGTTCGGACCAGGATTGCCGACCTGCACTTTGTTATGGCTAGCTGACAGTGGATACACTGGCCTCCGAAGCAGGAGAATCCACTTCCAGCCATACCAAAGCCCAGACCACCCTACGTTTCAGTCATTGGTTTCTAGGACCACTGGCCTCCTAGCAACCTAGCTGTACAGCCACCCAGACCACTTACGTAGTAGCCTACTACTGTGAGCCCCCCTTTCCTGCACTCCCTGCCAAGGTTTTCAGGTCCCCCGCTCCTCTGGGGGGGCCTGGGACATTGGCAAAAACGTCAGGATGAAGAGAGGGAGCAGACCGAGAAAGACCTGCTCTGCTCAATGAAGCTCCTGATGTCTCTATAAAGGGAGACATTAGGCTGGCTGGTGAGTGTGCTGGGAAACTTTTTGCTTTTGTAATGAGTAAAGCCTAGCCATGTGCACCTTACGTTAAAGTTACTTA